GTCAGAGGGAGAAGCAGACTCCCTGCCGAGCAGGGAGCCCGATGTGGGACTCGATCCCGGGACTCCAGGATCATGACCTGAGCCGAAGGCAGTAGCTTAACCAACTGAGCCACCCAGGCGCCCAGCATTTTAACCATTTTTAAGCATTCAATTTAGTGGCATTAATTCTATGCATACCGTCAAACAACCATCACCGCTCCATTTCCAAAATGCTCTAGTTCCAAGACCCTTCCGTCACTCACCCCATACAGAAACTCCGCACCCGTGAAGCAATAACTCTCCATCCCTTTTCCTGCCAACCCCAGGACCATCTAGTCTACTTCCTGTCTCTATGAAGTTGCCTATTCCAGATCTTCCATATAAGTGGAATCACATAGTCTATGTCCTTTTGGGTCTGATGTCTTTCACTCAGCATGTTTTCAAGGTTCGTCCATTTTGTAGTGTGTGTCAGAACTTTATTGCCTTCCATGGATAATATTCCATCACAAAGATGTACCCTTTTTGTTTGTTCATCTGTGCATGGATATTTGGGTCATTTCCACCTTTTGGCTGTTGTGAATGTACCATGTGCTTCGATGGCCATGAGATGAAGAAAGTGGAACGGCCCCCTGGGGACAAAGCAGGCTTTTTGGGGGGTAAGGGGAGGTAGGGGGATGACAACAGCAAGACCAAAAGACAGGCTATGACTGAACACAGAGCCTTGAGGAAGGAGCTGGAAACCAGAATTAAATCCTCTACCACTCCAGATGATTCCCGGGGGGCCTTCCCGTTCTGACAATCAGTCCACCAAGACCTCGACCATTAGATAATTAAACAATGATCAGTCTAATGAAATACCCTGCTTGGAGGGTAGAGAGAGAACGGTGACTTTGGAGGTGACCAAGGTCTAATCCCCCCAGAAGAAGAACGTGGTGCCCACGGTAGAGAATGATGGCAGAGCCTGCCCCCCACACTTCCTGGGGCTTGGCTCCAAGTGAGAATCAAGGAGGAACACAGAAATGGTTCCAGCACAAGCTGGAGGGGCTCGTACCTGCCTGGGGACAGGGCGCTTTCTGGGACCAGGCTGGCCTGTCAGGGAAGTCTGAAACCACTAGGGAAAGAAATGAGGGAAAGGCTTGGTGGACAAGGCAAAGGGGATACCTGAGTGGCTTCCACCACAGACCAGAATGCCTTGTGGCCAGGTCCCCCTGAAGCCTTGCAGGGGGGTGGGGGGGGTAGCGCACAGCATGCCTAAGAGGAGATATGGGAGAAAAACACAGAACAGGGTCTCATGCCCACATTCTTGGCTGTGTGGCCCTGTCTGAAACACTGAACCACTCTGGGCCACTCTCCTCATCTCTATGATGATTGGCTCAAAAGCCATCATCCCTCTGGTCCCCTCCAGGGCCAATTCCAGGCACATGGGGACACTGAAGGGGGTGTGGGGAGAGATCTCTTCCATACTCACTCGTTCAGCAAATGTTTATTGACCACTGCTTTGTGCTAGATGCCCTTCCTTCATCCTACCTGACACCAAGGGGACAGACAGGAGAGGCAGTGACACGATCTTCTCATTGCAAAGATTTGCAAAGGCAGATTACAGTAGCCGATACCACCAAGTCTCCACTGACAAAGCACTCCCTGCAGTCTAGCTTGCTGCCGATGCCAATCAAGAGTGGTGCCCCAGCATCATGCACCCTGATCCCATCGGGCTCTGGGAGGAGCTCCTATCCGTGGGCTGGGAAGGGAAGGAAGAAGGCGACAGGGGGCTCAGGTGCGAGCTAGACTCACCTTCACGCAGGAATAGATCACGGACACAAATACCACCAACGTCAGCAGCAGGAAACAGGTCAGGTAGAAACTCAACATGAACACGGAGCTGGAAAAAGAGAGGAGGTGGGGAATTCTGGGGCTCTGAAAGCCTCTGGAAGGAAAGAGAGGTTGCTCCATTTCCCCTGAACCCACTGCCCAGTCTCTCCTAGCCCCTCACTGAGAAGGGGGCTTACACAGCCTTGTGAACTGATTCAGGAGCCCCTCCATGGTGGTCCGGCTCCTGTCCTTGCCATCTCCCGGCATGGAGCGGAAACCCGCAAGGGGCTGAACTGAGAAGTGAGTGTCACCTGCTCAATGTTTTGCCTAATTCTTAGCTATCCACAGACTCACTTCATTTAGCTTGGAAGGACCTATTTTAAAAGTCACCTCGTTATTCCCTCCCAGCAGTTACTCACGGCTAGGTGAGGAACTGTGAAGGCTGAAAACGGGATAAAGGGCCATCATTTCTAAAACGCATTTGTCAGCAGCCCAAGCAGACACTCTGAGAAACAGCAGGGATGCGTCCCTTTGGAGGCAGAGTCCCTAAACCCTGTACCCTGCCAGGTCCCACGACAAGTCCTACTCAACTTGCCAGTTCAACACGAAAATGCAAGGAACTCCCCCTGTCCCTGCTGCCAGGGGCAGATCACAGGTGATCTTAACGTTCACCAAGGGCCAGAATCCTCAGACAAAAGAGCTGCCAGTGACTTTCCATCTGGAGCCTCCCACTGGCCCTCCTGGGGCCGGGACTGGCCTAAGGTACACCCCATCATATCAGGAGGTCACAGAAATCCCTTTTCCCTTCCGGGGAGTGAGAGTGGCCTGGAGATGTCAGGCGTCGTTAGCAGGTTAAAAGCAAGCAGAGGGCTTGACAAGGCAGGGGAGTACCTCTAGAGAGGCGTTCAAAGGGCGTCTTTGTTCCAGGCACCCCCAGAAGCCAGCACTTAGATGCTTTAAACAAGCAGAACAAGGGTAGAGAACTCTCTTCAGAGGGAAAGAAAGACCTTTAAAGTAGCTTTGAATGCTTCCGTAGAGAGAGGACTGCTGGAGAAAGACTTCCGTCAATGCCTTAGCAGCTCGGAGCTGTGGCCGGGGGGAAGGGAGCCACTGCAGGCCGAGTAGGGACCAAGGGAAACCCAGCCCACCAGCCATGCTGCAGAAACAGAAAGGCAAGCGGCACGGAGGCAGGGTTAGAGGCACCCAGGCTAACCGGACTGTCAAGAGCAGCAAGGGGACAGAAAGGCTAGGTCGCTTATTTATACCTGTAGCTCCATTTCCATATAGAAAAAAATGGGGTCCTGTGTCAATAAGGACCCACAGTCCCACCAGCTCTGCACCACCTCAGCGTGGGGGGCAATGGGGATTAGCTGCACAACCAGAGGGCTGGTGTCTGTGGTATCCTACAGAGTCACAGTGGACACAAATGTCAGGACCATCTCTGCAACAATGTGTCATCAAAAATAAAAGGCACTGAGTACTACGACAGGTAGGCATCATGTACCTCCCGATAACATGCACTAAGAAGGACACATCACTTCTGTGGGATTCTTGTCAAAACTGCATAACCTCAACCTGTGAGTACACATCAGACAAACCCAAATGGAGACATTCTACAAATTAATTGGCCAGCACTCATCAGAAGCTCCAAGGCCACAAAAGACAAATAAAGGCTGAGGAAGCATCACAGATTAGATCACACTGAGGAGAAGGAACAGCTAAACGCAATGTGGGATCCTAGCCTGGCTCCTGGGACACAAAAAGGCCATTAGGGGCAACACTGATGGAATTAGATTACAGTCAGTTAGGTAATAGTGCCATTCCAGGGTTAATCTCATGCCACTGACCCTCGTACTGTAGTTACCTAAGTGTCAACATTAGGGAAAACTAGATGAAGGCTGTACAGAGACTCTCTCTGGTACTTCTGTAACTTTTCTTTAAGTCCACAATTACTTCAAAATGAAAAGTAGAAGGTGTCGGGGTGAGGGGACTCTACTAGATTCAGTTGGACTTAGGAGACATAACCAAACACAACCAGTGGATCTTGAGTAGATCCTGGCTATGAATAAACTAAAAGTAGGAGACATTTGGAGACAATTCTGGAAATGTGAACATGGATTTGGTGTTACATGATTGCAGAGAACTGGTGTTAATTTTGTTTGGTATATAAGGCATTGTGGTTAAGAGGGAAAATGCCCTGAAAATAGATATATATTGAGGGCTTTTGGGGGAAAATGTCCTTTCATCTAAAATTTAAATAATCAGGGACGCCTGGGTGGCTCAGTCATTAAGCGTCTGCCTTTGGCTCAGGTCGTGATCCCAGGGTCCTGGGATTGAGCCCCACATCGGGCTCCCTGCTCAGCAGGAAGCCTGCTTCTCCCTCTCCCACTCCTGCTGCTTGTGTTCCCTCTCTTGCTGTGTCTTTCTCTGTCAAATAAATAAAATCTTTAAAAAATAAAATAAAATAAAATTTAAATAATCAGAAAAAAATAGATGAAACAATAGTAAAACATCAACAATAGTTACATCTAGGGGATGGGTGCTGATTATATCAATTACTTTGCTTTTCTGTGTGTTTGCAATATTGCATAATAAAGTCACAAATGTGTAGATACATGCACACGTGCACATACAAATGTATATACACACACACAAACATAACAAAGATAACACAAGCAATTATCTTCCTTGTCTACATGTGACTCTGTGACTATCTACCTAACACTTCATTTCTGGAAGCCCACTGCCCACTTCAGAGTGGTCCCCTCGGAAGCCACAGGCCTCTCTCAGGGACGCGACCAGTCCTTGGAAGCGTTCAGGAGTATCTCTGAGAAAAGCCTTTAGAACCAGAAATCCATTCTTTGAAATACCCAGAGTAGCAGAAAACCTTTATCTTTTGAAGATGTGTTAATGGTTTTGCAAGAACCAAAGGTCACACGGAAGCAAACCTGGTGAATACTTCAGGTGATTTAAGGGCAACCACTGTGTGGGTGACAATGGGGCGAGATGATAAAGTGCTGAGTCTCTCATGCAGCAAGGCAGGCCCAGGGAGGTTTCCCGCCCTGTCACAGGGGACTCAGACTCGTGGCTTCCCAGTCCCACCGAGGACACATGGGGAAGCCTCTCCTTGTCTGAGCAAGTCCGACCCCTGCCTCTGCTTGCTCCATGACCTCCGTTCCCACCCCTGGAGCCCCACAACCAGAGGGACGGTACTCACTGGGGCACGATGGTGATCTGGACAAAGCAGATGAAGAGGAAGACAAGCGAGGCACATGCCACGTAGGCACCGAATCGGTCATCCACCTGCTTGGAGTACTGAGAGGAGGGCACGGGGTGAGAGGGGCCCTGTGTGCTCCAGCCCCGCTCCACCCCAGACACATGCGGGCAGCCCACTCCCAACACCTGGAAGAACCAGCACTAGCCTTCGTGCTCAAGAAAACCAGTTCAAAGCACCCTAACGTGGTGCCTGTGGGGACGGCAGCTGAAATGTGTCAAACCGGACACTTTCTGCAGGTCGGGTCACTACAAGAGTCATTCATAATGATCCTGGCTCAAATCACGGAGCACCATCTACCCGCTAGGACATGCGACCGGTCCGAGTTGTCCTCCCGCATCCTCGCAAAGCCCCGGAAACAGAACCTATGTAGCTGCTACTTCACAGAGGAGCCCGGGCTGGGGCTCAGCGTGGACAGGAGGCTCGCCCCAGCCCCAAATCACGGAGCTCATCTCCCAGCCCCCAGTTCCTCCTGCAACGCCAAGCAGCGTCGCCCACAGAGGCCACACTGGCACCAAGTCACCAGAGAGGGCGCTCTCGGCTCAGGTCCCTTTCTCACTGGCCAACGAGTTTGCCTCACAGGACTGAGGTCGGGTCTGGCTCTGTCACGACTTCACTGGTGGCCTACAGCAAGTTGCCCACCCTCTCAGTCACAACGTCAGGAGATGGGACAGAGAGATCTCGACTGTCCCGACTTTTCGCCAGTGTGCCAAAGGCAGCTGGGAGGTCCACTGGTGATGATGTTCATAATGGTAACAACAATAAAAATAAAATCGATAGCAACTAACATCACTGAACATCTACGTGGCAGATACTGTTTTATGTGTTTTACACATATGGGCTTGTTTAACCCTCACTATGACCCTCTGAAGAAGGTATGGTAAGGAACCCCATTTTCCAGATAAGGAAACTGAGGCATGAGGAAGTTAAGACTTATCCCTTCTGACCGTGAAAAGCCTCCCTAAAATCTCCATCTCCTGAATAGCGTGGCATTGGAGCAGGCGACACTAACAAGAAAGGGCACTTTCCGTGGTGATGGGGACAGGCAGGGAGCCGCCTGTTGCCCTGTCCTCCTCCCTCTGGTTCTGGTCCTGCCCAGGGCCTCCTTCCCACCCAGGGGGCCGTACCTTCTTCTCTAAGTCAGGCTCCCTGAAGGTCAAGAGGAACTTGCGGACATGCTCAGACCGCAGCCTGTCGATGCTCCTGGCGTCAATGGCACGGCCCAGAAATTCGTCCACTTCATCCTCAGGGTTTGCACTTTCCTGGGCGTTCCTGGGGAGCAAGAGGCGCAGACCCAAGCTGACCACCAGGGGGCACCGCTGACTTGGCCCCCCCTGTACCCAGGCCCATCAGAAAGGCCCTAATAAGGGGTGGGGACTCTGGGACTGGGACGAGAATTGCCAGGAGGCCAACTCTGGGACTGGGACGAGGATTGCCAGGAGGCCAAGTCTCCCCTCTTAACTGCACACATGCAGCGAAAACCGCCCATGTCTGACCCGCTGGCTGAAGGGCCTCGCTGACAATAAGGCTTTTCTGACTCTACTGATATATTATTGTAGTACAATAATAATATGACTTGTCATTGAAGGTTTAATTGTTTTTCTCCACAGGTAACAGTCTCTGCTCTTCACTGTCCAGCTGTACCATCATTCTGAAACGAAGGCCAAGATCGGGGAGCAAGGCTCCTGCCACAGAGGCTGTGAGCCACCCCAGTGCTTTCCCCTGGCTCAGGCCACCCTCTGGAAAGCAGGTTTCACGATCAGGATGCTGAACTAAAAGCCCTATTCCTCAAGGTGACACCCAGTCTTCAGTGGGGTGGCTAGCCCCCAAGAGCTGGGAAGTGGAAGAGAAAGAGGACATGCCCTCAGGGCACTAGGCTGTGGCCAGGGGCCGGGGACCAACAGGCAAGGGCTGCATTTTCCTGAGAGCTGCAGGCACGTGTGTGTGTGCACACAGCCATGTGCAGCGTGTGCATGTACACGTATGTGTGTCCATGTGTTTGTGGGATGAGGACACGTGGGCTGCACTGAGACCCAGCCTCTCCGCCCGGCGGCCCAGGCTCCCGGGCTACCCCTCTAGCAGCTGCAGTGGGCTCCCGCCACTCTCAGCCGAGACCGTGCCGAGACCGTGCAAAGACCGTGCCGGACCTTGCTGAGACCGTGCCGGAATGTGCCGAGACGGTGTGGACCGTGCCGAGAGCATGCCAGACCGTGCAGAGACCATGCGGACCGTGCGGGCGCACTGCCCACCCAGCATGGAGCAACTGAGCTATAAGGCAAACTTGGGGCTATCCCTCAGGCCAAGGAAGCAGGAATAAAGAAGGGCATATTACTCACTTGTCCTTGGGGTCTTCAAAGCCCTAAAAGAGAGGGACAGAGAGAGAAGGAAAGGAGTGAGAACAGAGATGACGCTTCCAGGAGGGACTGTGGGAAAGCAGTCCAGCTCACCAAGGAGTCTGCACTGAGGGAGGCTTGTCACTCATAAGTTCTTTCTTCCTTCTTTCAGCAAATACAGCCGGGGCCTTCCTATGGGACAGGCTCTGCACTAGACACTGGGGGAGCCCTGTGATTTCATGTCATGCACTGGCAAAACCCAGGTGTCTAAGCTCTTCCTGTCCCCACACCCAACTCCCCAACTCCCCCACCCTTCCTCCCAGACCCTGAGTTTGGTAGGTCCCTCTCAATTCTGCCTTGAAATAAGCCTGAAGTAAGAGAAACCACTGAGTGATCAATTCCCACATGTGTGTGCACACACACCCTACCCCCACTGAGCACACAAAATCTCCTGGGAGTTCACACAGTTGTGAGCTTAAGAAAGTTAAGCTCCAGTTACCTGCAACAGCTTTTGTGGTATCTGAGAACCAGTGTGTTCTTCCAAGGCCAGAGTTGGGTGGTGACCCAGGAGGTGAGAAACCTGCCTGCCACGGGTGTGACTACTGCTCACATACACGGGGCAGGGGTGAGTGTGAAGGTCCCTGATTGGTTGCCAAGCTCAAAGCCCTATTTACAGTTAATCTATGATGTCTACAACATGCGTCTCAGGGTGTGACCGGCTGTGGCAGAATGGAGGGTGGGTTCCCTAAAACGGGAAGGGGATGGAATCCCGGAAGCAGTGGAGGAGGCGGCAAGCAGCCCCAGGACTGTTTCAGAGAAGGCTGAGGTTGCCAGGACAAGGAGAGAAGGTGACCTGTGGTCTCTCATGGCCCAGTGTGGAGCACACTGCTGGGCAAACATGGAGGTCAGTAAATGCCAGGTGAACCCAAATCCCAAACGAACACCTCTCTTTGTGCCCACTGCAGACTTGGTTTGAAAATGCAAAAAGCAGGATTTATGTTGGTCTTCATGAGCCAGAGCTGCCAGATGCTGAAATAGATGTGGGGACCACACTGCACTGGGGCTCTGTCTCCATTCTATCCTGCAGTGGAGGGCTTCCAGGAGCCTCAGCAGCCTCTCGTGGCAAATCCAAGTGCCCGACTCTGGACTCTGCGCCCCTCCCAGGCTGCCTGGCAGCGGTCTCCCTGAACAAGGCAGACCCTTCTTGTCCTCTGGGAATCACCAGGTCCTCTGTCCCAGATGCGAGAGCCAGGCCACTACACCATCCCAGCCCCAGGCAGGATGTGTTGGTGTGACTCAAGTGAGTGCTCCACCTGGGGGCAGGCCCACGCTGGGTGCTCCCAGGATCCAACAGGGCGCAAGCTTAAGCGGGCAGCAGGGGAACCCGGACAGGCCAGTTCTCCACAGAACGCGGTGAGGGGCTGGCACTGAATTCCATCACAGGGGCCGGCCACGACCTTACTCTGGGACAGAGGACAACCGAGCTGTATTATGCCTATGCTGGCTTCTGCAGCTCGGAAATAGACCTGACACGTTTTCAACAAACCTGTCTCTGACTTTCTCCTATACTCCTTTGGTCCTCTGCTGGGGCTGGTTGGGGACCAGGTCTGCTCTGGGTGCCATGCTAGTGTGGGGAGCTGAGCATGGGGTTGGGGTGTTGGCAGATAAACCATGGCAGATGATCATTAAGAACACAGTCCAGGGGCACCTGGGTGGCTCAGTCGGGTAAGCGCCTGCCTTTGGCTCAGGTCATGATCCCAGGGTCCTGGGATCGAGCCCCCCTACTCAGCAGGGTCTCTGCTTCTCCCTCTCCCTCTGCTCCTCCCCTCTGCTGGTGATTTCTCTAATAAATAAAATCTTAAAAAAAAAAAAAAACCACAGTCCAGCAGACTGGGTTCAAGTTCCCTGACCTGCTTACTAGTTCAGGGAGAGCCATCCTCAGCCCGGCTAGGAACACCCCCAGATAGGTTCCTGCGGTTTGTGCCACAGCACTTCCAGGGAGCAGCTCAGCTCACCCGGTTCTGTTTCATTCCCAATTCCTGTCCCTTGGACCTAAAGGCAGGAGCAGTGGCCGTGGCCCCTCCACTCACCCACGTGGAGGCACTGGCTCTGGTTTGCACGCCCAGCTCGGCGAGCTGCCTGCCTTCCCTGAGCGCTTGGGCTTGGCCTGCTGCCCCGAGAGAACACAGAGCCTCTCTGGCTAGATGAGCAGAGGCCCCTGTGTGCCCTTCCTGTCAACCTTCTTATTAATCAGTACCCTTAGGGACCTTATGACAGGCCTAAGCACAAACCAGAGCAGCTCGTCGCTATATTTTAAAAGCTGAGTCCAAGTTGGAACAAGAGTTAAAGAAATAAAACGGCTGCCTAGGGGCGCCTGGGTGGCTCAGTCGTTAAGCGCCTGCCTTCGGCTCAGGTCATGATCCCAGGGTCCTGGGATGGAGCCCCGCATCAGGCTCCCTGCTCGGCGGGAAGCCTGCTTCT